TTTATTTTTTTTCTGACTTCTTTTTCTTCTTTTTTTTTTCTATTTTTCTTTTCTTAAGTTCTTTACTCTCTTCTCTTCTATCATTCTCTTCTCTTCTTCTCCCCCTTTCTCCCTTATTCCCTTCTCTTAAACGTCTGTGATCTTCTGCAACCATAATTTCAGCGATTTCAGCAATTTGGCCAATTTTATTTTTTATTTTTTTCCTACTTCTTTTTCTTCTATTTTTTTTCTATTTTTCTTTCCTCAAGTTCTTCACTCTTTTTTCTTCTGTCATTCTCTTCTTTTCTTCTTCCCTTTTTTCCCTTAATCCCTTCTCCTAAATATACATGACCCTCTGTAATCATAATTTTGGTGATTTCAGCAATTTGGATGATTTTATTTTTTCCTTTCTCCACACCTTTTTCTATTCTTCTTTCTTCCCTTTCACCGAGTTCTTTATTTTTTCTCTTCTGGTACTCCTCCCTCCTTCCTTTCTCCTTTCTCTTAAACATTCGTGATCTTCTGCGATCGTAATTTTAGCAATTTCATCAACTTCAGTGATTTCGATTTTACCCTCTTCTCCACTCTCTCCTCTACTCTCCCCTGTATTTTTGTATTGTCTCTTTCTCTCCTTTTCAGCGGTGGTCCGATTCTCCTGAGGTTTAATTATTATTATTAGTTTATTCATGTTAACCGGAAAAAATCTATAAAAAAAAAAGATTATTATTTTTATTCGAAAAAATTTGAAAAAATAATATAATTATAATATTATATAATTATAATATTATAATTATAAAAAAAAGAATAAGATTCGAAAATATAATTATAATATTATAATTATATAATATATTAATTATATAATTATAATATTATAAAAAAAAAATACAATGATTAATTATGATTATTCACAATTAATCACAATTTTTATAATCGTTAATTAATCACGATTAATCGTCCATTAACATTTGTACTCAATTATATAGTTGATAGTTGATTAATCACGATTTTGTATTTGTGATTTCTAACACTAGGCTATACATATTAAACTCAAGTTATCTTCAAATAAAGCTCAAGACTATGTAGTATTGATTCCAATTTAACTTAAATAAAGTTCAAGACTATATAGTATTGATTCTAATTTACCTTAAATAAAGCTCTTGACTATATAGGTTAGCTTGGGATTACTTTAAAATAAAGCTCAAGACTACACATGTTAAACTCAAGTTACCTTCAAATAAAGCTTAAGACTATGTGGTATAGATTCTAATTTACCTTAAATAAAGCTCAAGACTACATAGTATTAATTTCAATTTACTTTAAATAAAACTCATGACTACATACATTAACTTAGGGTTACTTTAAAATAAAGCTTAAGACTACATATATTAAATTCAAAGTTACCTTAAATAAAATTCAAAACTTAAAAAATAGATTTGAATATATATACGTTTAAAAAATAGACTTGAATATATATGTGTTCAAAAAAATAAGCTTGAATATATATGCGTTCGAAAAAAAGAGTTAAAAAAAATAAAAAAAATATTTAAACAACATATATATTTGAGTTTAAAAAAATAGACTCAAATATATATGTGTTTGAAAAAAAAATAAACTCGAATATATATACATTCAAAAAAATAAGTACAAATATATATGCATTCAAAAAAAAAATAAGCTCGAATATATTTGTGCATATATATTCAAGCTTGGAAAAAAGAGATTAATGCATATATATTAGAGTTTAAAATATATATATATATTTGAGTTGATTTTAAACTTGAATATATATATTGCATCAATTAAAATAATTTTTTTTTTCTTAAATAATTTTCATATCCTAAATATTTGGAAGGTCAAAATTAATTTGAAATATCAAAAATAATATAGGATGTCAAAAATAATTTTAATTACTAAATCTAATTTGAGATGTCAAACATAATTTTGGTTACTAAAATTAATTTGAAATATTAAAAATAATTTGAGATTTGAAATATTTTGATCCTCAGATTTCAAATAATTTTGACATATTTTGATAACCATAATGTCATATTAATTTGGAATTTGGATAACATGTATATCCTATTCCTGCTCTCAAAAATTCTCCTGTTCTTGTTTTTGCTTTTAAAAATTCTTTCACTTTTGCTCCTGTTTTCAAAAGTTTTCTTACTCTTGTTCTTGCTCTTACTTTCAAAAGATTTTTTATTTCTGAAAGGTTTCAAAAATCTCAATCTCTATCTAAAAAGCCTTCAGAATTAGAAAGTTTTTTAATCATCTTCAAATTATATAAAAAAATTAGTAAAAAAAGAATTGATATCAAAAACTTATAAAGTAAAAATAAAAAAATAAAAATAAAAAAAAAGGATGAAGACGAATATGAAGAAGATAGTGAAGAAAAAGATGATAATGATGATGATAACGATGACACTAGTGAACAATAAAATAAATTTTATATATTTCTAAAGTTTTTGTAAATATTAAAATTAATAAAACTTTTCAAAAAAATTAGAAATATAATAATTTTCTTTGTAAAAAATTTGTAAATTTTTTACAAAAAATTTTCAAAATATTATGAATTTTTTTATAAAATTTTTAAAATATTTGTAAAAATTTTTGAAATATTGTAATTTTTTTTTTTTTTAGAAAATTTTGAAAATTTGTAAAACTTTCAAAAAATAATTGAACTAAAAAATTTCTGAAAATTTTTGTCTTTTAAAATTTTCTGATAAATAAAATTTTTAAAAAAAAAATTAAATTATATTATCTTACTACTGATGATGATGTGTATATAATTACTACTAGTAAATATAATTTATATATTTATTTATATTTTATTAATTTTATTATTTATTTAATTTTAATATTTTTGTTATTCAATTAAATTTCTAGATCCTAGACTAAAATTATAATATTATTATGACAATAAATGAAAATCATTTTATATTAATATTGCAAAAAAAACTGTAACTAATATTTGCAAAAATTACTATAAAAACAATAATAAAATTATTGTTAAATTAGATTCTTCTTGTTTATGTTTTCAAAAAATAAAAAATAGAATTTAATGATGAATTAAAAATATTTTTGAAAGAAGAAATTATATCTAGTAAAATAAATTTAAAATCTGGTTTTGAAAAAAATTAATATAGAAAATTTAGGAAATTAGATTTAATTTTTTTCAAACATATAAAAATAATAATTAATCATTTACTATTATAATATAAAAAATAATATATTTTTTTTAAAAATTAAAAGAATAACAAATGTATTAATTTGAATTTTCAAAAATTACAATAAATAATTTAATTTTTTAATCCTATAAATAATTTTTTAAATCTTATTAAGTTTTTAATTTTAAATATTTTATTATTAAAATATAAATTTTAATAAAAAAATTTATATTAATAAATATATAATAAAGTTTATAAATTTATATTGTTTTTATCAAAACTTATAAAATTTAAAAGTTTCTATTAAAGTTTGTAAATTTATTTTAAAACTCATGAGTTTATATCAAAACCTGTAAACTATATCAAAGTTTATAAGCTTATATTAAGGTTTATAAGTTTATCTTAAGACTCATGAGCTTATATTAAAGCTTACAAACTTATATTAAGGCTTATGAGCTTATATTAAGACTTGAGAACTTATATAAGGGTTCAAGAGCCTATATCAAAGCTCGAGAGCCTATATAAAGGCTCGAGAGCTTACATCAGAGCTTGAGAACCTTAATAAGCTTGAAAACTAGGTCAAGCTCAAACTATATAAGCTTGATTTGACCTGAGCTCAAATTTTAAACTTGGACTTGACTAGGCTTGAGCCTTATAGAGCTCAACTGGGCTTAGCCTATGGGGAGCTTTAATCCTTACTACAAGATTTGCATTAGATAGAAACATTTTTTCATCCAGACATACCAAAATAAAACAATATTCAAATATCTCTTATTGATAAATTAGTATTTATCACAGATCCTGATGTTATACGTGAATATCAAAGATTAGAAAATATTTCTATATCTCATCCAAATATATTTCATTAAATAATATATTTCTTCCTGTAACAGGGGATGTGTTACTCTAAAAAAAAATCATGGCTAGTTTTCATATGGGTATTGCTAAAGCTCACCAGTGGTGATGATTATCACCGTCGGGCAAAATTACATAATTCCCAGATCAACCCCTATCCCTAACTTTGCCCAATGGTGACAATCACCATCGGTGAGCTTTAGCAATTTTCAAATATAATAATATAATCTAATAATAATTTATGATAAAATAATAAGTTTGAATAGATCCAGGTATAAAAGATTTGTAACAATTTCAAAACAAACACAAATAAGAAAAAAGATATGTTAAATATTTTGTATACTTTGTTAATTATCAGGATTTTTTTTTAATATTATATTATATGGAAATAGAAATGAAAAATTTTCAAGTATTCGTTTTTTTTTTATAGACACTCAAATTGAGAAGTTAATGCAGCTTAAAAGCGTAAGGAACATTTTCACGTTATAACCTTTATTAGGGAGATGGAAGGAAAGTAAAACTTGTATTCATAAATTTTTTCTCTTAACATATTCAATAAAATTGATGTTTTATTTTTATAACAAACTTGTCAAAAGGTGTATAAATTACATATATATATATATATACACCATTGAATTGTCGAATTAACTATTAAAATGCCACAATTTTTATACAACTAATCAATCATCCTTCGTTGTGATGATCTATATATACAAGTAATAATGTATATTATAGAAACAAAAAATAACATTGATTTCTGAATTATATTATTTTAAAAATAATAATAATTCCAAAATTAAAGAATGCAAGAATAACCAAAAATTTCGTGAAATACTAAAACAAAGTGCAAAAGTATTGTAAATAATCAATTTAAAGACGAATTGAGTTGTGAAATTACAATACATATAAAGTTAAATGATGAAAATCTAACATAAATAATCGTTTAGATATTTATTATCCAAATAAATATGAATTTATAATGCATAATTATTAAAATCACTACACTGACTGTGGAACGCCGACAACAGGTGGACTATGCGGTCCAATGATACCACTATATAAAAGGAATTAAAAATCAAATTACTAAATTATATAAATATTTTTTTTAATACAATTATTTAGCCATACCTTGGTCGTCTCTTTGGCTTTCCTTGTTGTTTCAGCATCGATGCATCAAGTGGTTTAAGTAATTCAAAACTACATAAAAGTTCCTCATTCACACTCATTACTGCTCCAAAATTATCAAATTCTCCACAATAATTTGGTGCTGAAAACACGGTAACAAGTGTCCTATCATTAAAAAATTCATATCCATCCTCTACTACCATATGTGCTCGACATACTAAATCAAAGTCATGACGTTGCAAAAATTCGAGAATAATTGCTTTCCCGAAGCAATAACTTACACCTCTTTCATTATCTTCCCAATCAACTGCCGTATCTGATGGGTCAGACCATAGCAGATCATTGAGAAGACCGTAGTCTGGCACATCAGTAGGACGTTGAATTCCTCTAATTTCATCCATAGAGGAAAGAGAAGGTGATAATCCACCATGGACGCAAAATATTTTATTTGCTACGATTGCCGCGATAGGAATACAATTAAAAACATCGATGAATGTTTTCCATGTCTTGATATTCGATCGTCGTTTACATTCATCGTAAAATCCGTACACTATTAAAAAAAAAAAAAAGAATTATTGAATAAGAAGAATTGATAAGTATTGAATGAATATAAAATACGAGAATGTTGATGAATATTTACCTCTGGTTACATTTGCACATTCATGATTTCCTCTTAACAAAAAAAAATTTTCTGGATATTTGATTTTATAACAGAGTAATAAAAGAATGGTCTCCAAACTCTGTTTTCCACGATCCACGTAATCTCCTAAAAATAGATAATTTGCCGCTGGGGGAAATCCACACATTTCAAATAATCGAATAAGATCTGAATATTGACCGTGCACATCTCCAACAATCTTAACAGGTGGTGATAATTCAATAAGTGTTGGTTGGGATAAAAATACTTCTCGTGCCGTTTGACAGATACTATTTATTTCTGCATTTTTTAAACAAACAGATTTTGAAACTTTATTGGAATAACCCGCAATAATAAGACGTTGTATCATATCATCTATGTCAAGAGTTTTAGTACGATCATTTGTAAACGAATTGGGAGTGCTGCTTCCATAAGATAAGGGGGATGAGAGTGTTAAACTGTTGGCATTAAAAACCTCCACATTATTATTATTGTTAGAATCAGTAAATCCGCTAGGTTTAAGAAGAATTGATTCCATTGGCGTTATAGGCGAAGAAGGTGAAATTGGTGAACTATCTCCAGAATTAGGTGAAATAATATTATTTGATGAATTATTTTTATTTGTGGTATCTACGCTTAGAGGGTTCTTATTTGATGAATTAACAGGACCTGCGGATCCATATACATTTTCTTTTCTTTCTTTTCCTTTTTCCTGATCGTTTAAATGATCATTTATGATGCTATCATGGGATCTACTACTAGGTACACTTGATTGGCGCTTCTTGGAACTCGTGTTACCCATTGTTCTTTGTACTAATTGTTAAAATTCTTTAATATTAAAAAAAAAAATAAATTAATAAATAAATTTTTGAAACTTAAATATTACTTATCAAAAAAAAAAAATAATAATAATATTGACCTGATAATAATTAACTACCTTTAATTGCTACTCTCCTGAAAAGGGATTAAAATTCGAAATCACTTCTGTATGTATACTGTTATTGTATGAAGAATTATATGCAAGCATATGAGCACAAATCATGTAATGTGCTTTTAAACAAGAACTTTGTGCCCAACAATTCAAGAAAACAAATTCAATGCGAAGTTGATAAAGAAACAAAATATATTTAATTAGAATGCAATTAAATAATGTTAATTTTAGAATATAAGGTAAAACTCTAAAAAAAATTAGTAACGGATAGTTATTATAGTCCTAATGACTATTAAAATAATAATAATAATAAAATAATAATAATAATATGTTTTTTTTTAAAAGGAACAATTGATTTTATTACAAGATTTATAAAAAATCAAAGTGAAAGTATGTTTAAAACAATGAAACAGTAAAAACAACAAATTACTTGTGCATATATTAAATTATAACTTCAAAGCTGTTTATTTTTTTTTCGAAATTTTTTATACAACTAGTAAAATCGAGATATTTAGGTTGGTCTGAACTTTCGTTTTTGAATGTTTTTGAATAAAAATGCCAGATTTGAATACAATATAAATAAAGATACAGAAATGGCGGAATAAAGATAAATGGTTGTACGCCAACTGATTTTCAACCAGTTTGTGCATTTTTATAATAGTATCAACTCACGTGACAATCGGAATTGTATTTAAGTATATAAGGGGATACTCAAGGTTCGATCGATTATTCAACATGGCGTTAACATCAGTAATTATACCATCTCGTAGAATTCCACATACTGCGTCCGTTATTTTTTTGCATGTAAGTTATGGATTTCATTTTTATACCTTCCTGATGTTATTAACAAATATTATTAAAGGGTTTAGGTGATAGTGGGGAAGGTTGGGCACCTGTAATGTCTGAAATAAGAAAAAAACTTGACCATGTTAAATTTGTGCTTCCAAATGCGTAAGAAAACATTAAAAATTATTTATAACTTGTATTAGTATTGATATATATCATTTTAAATCGACCGAACAAATTCGAAATTTTATTTGGACAGACCTATTCGACCAGTAACAGTTAACGGTGGGTTTAAAATGCCAGCGTGGTAGGTGTAGTGAAATTAAAATTAAAAAATATATGTATTTTAATAATACTAAAATATTATAATTTAAGGTACGATATTGAATCATTGGGGAGAAGCGAATCTAATCGAAAAATTGAAGAAGAAGACCTATTAAAATCTACGGCATCAGGCAATAATTCCATTAAATACATTAAATACATTAAGTAAACTTTGAAATAGCAAAACTTGAAAAATAACAATTTATTATTATTATTATTATTATTATTATTATTATTATTATTATTATCATTATTATTATTATCATTATGATTATGATTATTATTTCATTAGTTAATCGAATAATTCGAGATGAAATAGATTCTGGTATTCCTTCTAATCGTATCGTTATTGGAGGATTTTCTCAAGGAGCAGCGACCTCACTTGTAATTGGTTTGACTTCTGAATATCCTTTGGCAGGAATGATGGTGTAAGGATTCAAAACAAAAACAAGAGAAGATATTTTGACAGATAATATTTTTTAATTAATTATTAATTCTTGTAGATTAAGCGGCTATTTGCCACTTAAAGACAAAATTTTCAACGTAAAAAAAATATTTAAAATATTATTATTATTATAATCAAAAAATAGACACAAGATTAATTTTATAATTTAATAGATGACCACTGAATCTAATAAAGGAATTCCTGTACTTATATGTCACGGTGACATTGATGAGGTATTCAATTAATACAAAATCTAATATTTAATATAAAACACGAGTGAAATTAACAATTAAATACTTTCAAAGGTGGTTCCATATGAAGGTGGAAAACAAACCCATGAACTTCTTAAAACAAAAGGATATTCTGTCAACTTCAAAACTTATCCTGGAATGGGACATTCTTCAACTCCCGAAGAATTCAATGATATGATTCAATTTTTAAACCAAGTGATTCCTGATTTATAGATTTATAGAAAATTTATTTGTGAATATCTTGAAAAATGAAGATATATAAGATATAAGAATTATTATTATTATTTTTATTATTATTTTTTTAATTTTCAAATTTCTTAAAAATAAATAAATATAATATAATTTATATAATTCGCATGTACCTTAAATTTGAAATAAATTTAAACAATTTGGGGGGAGGGAGTTTTTGTACATTGAATAATTCTAATAATTCTATATTTATTATATTTATTATAATCTAGTTACTATGATTATTATTATATCACTTCCGTCTTTTAATAGAAGGTGCATCATTATCAAGCCGATATTTTCTTAAATCTTTTGTATGATCAGGCATCGGAGCTCCCCATCCCGGTAAACGCACCACCTAATTTGTAGTGAAATGTGAAATATATTATTATTATTATTTTATTAATTTGAACTTATGATTTTCGCAATCTTTAATATTATAAAATATTCATAATACCATGGCCGTTATGTTATCTTCTGATCCAAGCTCATCCGCAAGATCTATAAGTTTTGATGCACCCAATGTAGGATCGCTGTAATTTTTTATCTATATTTTACAATACAAAAATTAAAAACTTTTTTAAAAAGCAACAAAATTTAAGATATTTGAAAACTCACACAATCTACTATCTCTTGGTTACTCAATACTGATGTAACCCCATCAGACACCAAGACCATAAAGGCAACGCTATCCCCTTTTATAGTATTCATCATAATTTCTGGTTCGGCTGATATTCCATATTTCTTCATTTTAGAATCTCCCATTGATCGAGTAATTGCTAATTTTCCCAAAAACATCTCTGCACCAAATGAGTCAGTAATAATATATCCACCTGACTTTCTCAATCGATCATGTTCTGTGATAGCACTTGGATGATGATCAAAAGTCAAGGAAATAGCATTTCCTGAAGGAACATCACATAACAATACACGAGTATCTCCAACATGTGCAACAGTAATTTTTAATTCTTTGCTAGACCAGAAAGGACATCCATCCAAAGTTTTAATAAGTGCTGCAGATGCTGTAGAACCCACTGATTGCGGGATAGAATTTAAAAGTTCCAAATCAATTTTTAGAAATGCTATAGTAAGTCTTTGATCTAATGTAAGTTCAGTTGTTGAAGTATTCATCAAAGTAGGTGACGAAGGTAAAGAAGGTGAAGAAGGTGAAGATAGTATGACGGATGAATATTTTCTTGAAGCTGCAAGTCCATTAGTAGTAGAACCATCATTGGTATCTGATGTACGATTTTTTATATTAGGTTGGATCATTTCGGGACTTAACAATGGTGCCAACACTGTTGGTCGAAATCTTCGAAAATATCTATATATATATATATATATATATTTTTGAATTGAATACTTTGTTATTTTTAAATTCATTTTTTGTAAACACGTAAAAATTAATATTATGTACCCTCCAATGCTTCTAAATTGTGATACAATCTTATCAGCATCGGAAGCTCGAACGTCCTCAATCCGTTTATGCAGATTAGCGGTTAAATAATCAGCGCATTGAGGTCCTCCGTGACTAATTTTATTCATTCAAAAAAACGGAAATTGATAAAGATACACGATAAAAGTGAAAAAGACGCAATAAAACACACCCATCAAAAACAGCGAAATAACATATTTGGCCTTCTTTGCCTTCTCCATAAAAAGTTGTTCCGTAACCTTCATTGTCCAAATCTGCCTGTTCTTCTGTATGTGTATTTTCTTTACCATTCAGCTCTAACACCAAAGTTTGATAACGGTCTTCGTTGAATTTTCTGGTTCCTCGTGTTGTTCTACGTTTATAAAAGTACTACTAAAAGTTACACAGGAATTATTACTTTAAACTAATATTATCAATATTTCTAATATTTCACCTTAAGCCAACCAAGTGCTTTGATTTTGCAAGATGAAATCTGTAATTTTCACCCTTAGGAGATTTTACAAGATAGTATTCTTGTGACCTCTGAATCGTTGATTGAGTTATAAATCGTTCTTTTAATTTATTTAAATTTGATAAATTTGATAAATTTGATATACGAAGTTCGTTTTTTGCTACACTAAAATTACGTATGAAGATGGTCATTTTAGATATTTTACAATATAACAGAAGTTTTGGTTTTTATTAATTATTGTACTACAGTGATACAAGGTTCTTCCCTTATAACTTTGTTTTTATAGTTTTTATAGAAATGGTTTTTCTTTCGAAAACAAGTACCGCAATACAGGTCGTCGATATTAATTTATAGGTAAGACATGCAACATAGTTTTACATATATCTCCCCATAAATCTTACATATCATATTTTTAAGAGAGTCTTTGCCTGTGACAACATGAATGCGACACTGGTATCTTACAGTATACCAATGTTTGAAATTTATTTTAAATTCTGTGCGGAATATACACAATTTAAAAACTACATGCAAATTTGTGCGGATGCCTTTTTTTTTTGTGGAGTTTTCAAATTTTGTACTATTTCACATTCCGCACATTGAATTTCGAACAATATCAGTAATATCAGTGTTAGTTTACTGCAGGATATATTTCTTACACGCAATAATCGAAATATTTAATGTTTGTGTTGCTTCCCGTAATGAAAAGTGCCCGCTGGGTTAGAGGCTCATAAATTTTGTCTCCTTAATGCCTGTAGCAATTCGTTGAGTTGCCAGTTTACGTTTTGGAGGAGTTCTTCTTGAAATGTAAAAAATAATGAATGTAACGAACGAATGAGAAAATCTAGGTAATTTTTTTTAAGAATTATTCATTCATTAAATATTGTTATGCTCAATAAATTATAAAATTAAATTATTTATTTATATTTGACTAAAAAATGATTAATCTTATGGTTGAATTAAATTTTTACATTAAGAATTTTTACAAATATAAATATGAATTTATAGTTATTATAAGGATTTTAGTTATTATAGTTATTATAAATATTATATATTATTATTCTTTAAATAAAACGTTGCCTACATTTTATAATCACATATTTACACAATGTAATATGCGTTACAGTCGTATATTTATTTTAAAAATTTCGGAACGTGTAATTAAATAATATAAAACAAGGGTCTTGGTGAAAAATAATTTAATTGACATTATTAAGATATAAAAATTACAGATTTAAAAGATTTTTTTAAAAAAATGATAAATAAATAAAATACATAAAATAAACTTTTCGAAAATCAAAATCTTAAAAGTTATGCTATAAATGGTATTTGTTGATATTTTTTACAAAAAAATGATTAGATTAGACCTTCCAACAATAAATATAATGTAAAAAAAAAAAAAATTATCTCGTGGAGGTCTTAATGAATTTAAATAAGATTATGAGTAAAAAATCAAACTAAGAAAGCAGATTCTTAATCAAAAGGAAATTATAAACAATATCACTTAGAAAATTGAAAAAAAAAAAAATAATTTAACAAATATTAAATTGTTCATTTGGGCATATAAAGACCTAATGGAATATCATCATCTTCATCTTCTTCTAACGAATTGCCAGCAATTAAATTTTTCTTGACTTTGGTTAGAGGTGATTGAGAATTATTTTTCTTTTGTCCAACATTTGAAGGTCGTAATCTTATTGGACTAATTGCTCGTTGGTTTTGAGTGGGTGCGGTACGTCGAGATCGATTTTTCGAACTTTCCTCCATATCTAAATGATTATTAACAGGCTCCCTAATATGATTACTCTCAATACTACTACCATTTAAATCTTGACTGTCAAGATATCCTCCATCTGTTCCGTCAGATACATATCCATCCCCATAGTGATGGTATTTTCCATTATAATTTTCTTCATTATTTTCAGAAGAAATTTCTTTTCCTGATTCACTATATATTTCCCATTCTTCAGTATATTGTTGTGAAATTTGTTGCATATCATACTGTGGAGCTTTATATGCTATTTCTGCATTGGAACTAGCTCCACGTCGTCTTATCTCCGAAGATACACCTTTCTTTTCCCCTTTTTTCCGTTTACGGCCTCCATTAGACTTGCCAACTTTACTTTTTACTTTTATTGCCTCCTTTTCCGCATTAGGATTTATTTCGCCTCCATATTCAACTTGTTTATTAATAAGTGAAAGATACCAAAACATCATATTGGATATCAAAACCTGTTCGGATAAAGGTCGTCGGGGATTTGCCAATTTAATATGAGAAAGACGATATATAGCACGCTCTACATGAATGGGAAGACGGTTGTAATTGGTATACTTTGGTTTTTTATTTGATATATCTGTGTTTAGTGAGACAGGAGGTTGAGATACAGTTGAATCTGAAGAATTTACATTATCATCTGTTGGTTTCCCTTTATTTTGTGAAGACCATGAAAAAATTGATGAAAGTGACATTTTAGAGTTTTTTTCTTTTTCTTTATTAACTGATTCACTATTTTCATTCTCTTTTTCGGCTTTTTGCTTTTTAGTTTTCATTTCCTTATCTTTTTCTCTTTCATCTGAACCTGCACCAAAAAGCCATGATGTCCATGCTGATGACCTTTTTGGTTGCGAAATCGATGTAGGTGATGTTGAATTTAAGGAAGTAGGCGATGTTGATGTTGAAGTTGAAGTAATTGTTGACATTTCAGGAATAGGTTTCGATGTATTATCTGTATTCACTGTATCCACATATAATTTTGTCTTATCGGGCAATGGAACTTGATCTTCTTGAAATTCATTTGCCATTTCGAGCGCACCGTGTGGCAGAGAGCTTGTTCTTTGAGGGGAAGGAACAGAAAGTAAGTCGTCATTGTCTTTTAAGGTTATACGAATGGGTCCTGAGATATCATTTGAATCTATGAAAGCAAGCTCGATCTCATTATAATTTTCCTCTGGTTTTATCTTTTCTTTGTCACTAATGTCAGATTTATCTAAAGAAAGTGAAGCAGAAGTCTTTTTTGGATGATTAGATATTAAATTTCCATTCTTATTTTTTCCAGATAATATGTGAGTTGACTTTGTTCTTCTGTGAGCAGAAAACCTGTGAGGATTCTGCTCCCCGGCCACTGAATTTCTACGAATCTTTGTACGTGCTGTACGCTTAAGTGCTGGAGCCATTCTATGAATAAGTATAGGTGAATCTACATCAGTAGAAGAATTCCGATCAAATATATTTGGATTCTTTGGGTCATAATCGGAACCTAACATTTTATTAAAAATTTTCAATTTAAACATATAATGATTACAATCAGTTTTTTTTTCTAATTTTAATTTGTAGTTCATTTTGAAATAAAAAAACCGATGAATCAGGGATCTGTTTCATTAAAACTATGCGTAATATATTGCGTTATTATAAAAAGACAATGGAAGCCAATTTTTGATCCCTTACCCATGAAAGGTGGAAAATTCAAACTAAGACTTCTTTTTATTATTTTTAATTTTGATGATTCTGACGAAGGACTAATGTTCTCATCCAATGCGGCAAAATTTTCCCAATCAAAACCAATACTTTTTTTTTCAGTATCTACCTTTTTCTCAGGTTGTTCATCGTCGTCATTTTCTGTAGGTATATATTGTCGAGAAAGAGTTGATTTGCGTCTTCGTAGTGATATCGTTCCTGAATTAAATCCATCTTTTGCATGATTTTTCAACCACTTTCTAAATTCATTTGGAGCTATCTCTGGGTGTAAATGTGCTGGTACCCAAAATAAATGTGACGGATTATCTGTCTCAATATGCAACTCTTCGGTGATCGGCTCTGCGTCATCGTTAAATTCAATATCTTCCAAGTCTATAATAGATTTTCTTTTAAGAGTGGCATCTATTAAACCTGAACTTCGTTTTTCTAAAGAATTTTCTTTTGATTCTCCATTTAACTGAACAACAGGGACAAATTTTTCGGTTGAGGAACTAACAATGGTATTATTTTTAGACGTAAAGAATTCAGATGATGCCTTTTTGTTTTCGGCAGAAATCTGTTCATTTTGAAGATCTTTGACTGGGTTTATTTGAGGGGGAAGGGTGGTGGTCGTAGAATTTTTATCATGTGGTTGTAATATTTTTGGTTTACTTAGATCGCTTATTTCAAAGTTAGATACTTCGGTTCCAAACACTGCATCTAGGTATTTAATCGAAAACTCTAAAAAATTTTCTTCCGGTACTTCGTTTACCATTGTATGTAATATAATGATAATATATACACTTTTGCTCTCAGAAATTTTCTTTTAGCCTTTTAGCACTTTTCAATCATGTATCCAATTGAAAGTTCGAGAATTTTTCACGTTTTATATGAATTTGGGAATTTTTATTATGAAATGTAGGTTGTCGATCTCTATAATAAATCACGGTGTTATTTTAAACCAAAAAATCTCAATAATCCAAGCATAGAAAGTGAACTAGTTTTACAGTCTTCATGTTTCTGGAGAAAAATAATTGTAATTATATAATATTTAATTTTAAGTCAAAGATAAAGACAGTGTCCTTAATTATTTTTAATATTGTGGTTTTTTTCAAATTGAATTATAAATCCACAATCAATATTTTAATCAAAATAAAATTTTTATAAATAATTTGTATATGTTGTATCTCAGACCAATGCTTACAGCTGAACTGAGGTTCAATCGTCAGGTGAGATGTGTAATATATTGTATAACATGTCATCAAAAGTAAAAAAACCTTTGACTCAATTCTAATTTTTCAATTTTAATTTTGTTTGACTCAATTTCTAATTGTGTCTAACTCAATTCAGTAGTTTTGACAATATGTATAATCTATTGATTGTTATATGATCATATAAATCAGGTGTAAATTATTAGATGAGATATGTAACCTATTGATTGTTCTTTAAAATTTAAAATACATCAGCACTAGTATTTGAAATTCAAATTTTAAATCCTGTGTAAAATATATACAATTTAAAATTATATAAGTGGAATTTTCAAATTTTGTATTAGCACATTGAATTTTAACATTGGTCAATATGCATATTAATATTTAATTTGGTACATAATAATAATGTATAAAAAAATCTTATTTTTTAATTGCCAATTTATCTAAGATCAGTACTATTGTGAAATTTGATAATTGCACAATATAAATTTTCTTTTTATCATATAGTCATAGGTCAAATGAAAAAAATCAGATTTGACAATTGGGAATTAGCAATTTGATTTTGCCAGTTTGTTACTGATTTTGAACAACCCAAATAGCTGATCCAATTTTATATGATTCAAAAATTGGTATCAATTCTTTACTGATTTTTGGTCAGTTGAAAAATTGACAAAATCTATTGCCAATTTTTATTAACTGATTCTTGAATCATCTAAACTGATTTTACCAATTTTATCAATTTTCAAAGTTACTTTACTGATTTTTTAAATAGACATGTGAGTCAAATTTTTATTTTTTATTCTTTATCTTTATTGCTTATTTTAATTGACTAATTATGGAAATTCTTAATTACTGGAAATGGTTAAATTATACAGTATCACAGAATACAAGATAATTGATATGTTTATATATAAATTAAAAAATTACTCTTTAAAATAACATTTTTTATTTAACAATATTATCACCATATATTTTTTTTTCTTTTTTTTCCTATATCAAATTATATCAAATTTACATTTTATAAATTTTCCTATAATATTATATATAGGAATTATGTTATCTCTTCTCATTTTATAAAATTCACTTGTTCATAATTCAATATTACAAGATTTTAAATTATTTTCTTCTATCTGAAAATAAAATTTAGTTTTATAATCTTTGACTGGTTTGTATTATTTTATAATTGCAAGATAGTATTTTAATTTATTATTATTTATAGATAAAATATATTCTAAATAGAATTGTATTTGTTTGAGATATGTATCAATAGTTCTATTTTTTATACAAATTCACTAATATATATAATAATTTTATGTGACAAGTAGCTTCTGCTGATCTATATATATTTCTTCTGATTCTTAATCTCACATGTTCAATTATACTGAATAATATTATTATATTATTATTTTTTTGATTCATTATATATATGTATACTTGAAAAAGTAAAATAAAATTTTCTTTATACAAATTATTATATTTATATTTTAGATTTTTATTTTTTGTTGGTGTCATCATAGAATCAGTGAAGACCTTTGTTCCTATTGCTGATTCTTTTTCTAAAAGTGAATGTTGTTACCAATGGTTCTTGATTTACTTGAGAACAAATCAATGAAGTGACTTAACAGCTCTTTTAAGAAGTTTATAATTTTTTCCTGAAGGCAAAACTGTTGTTTAGTTGTTTCAGAAAACACTACTGATTCAATTATTTTAGAAAGGGAATCAGATTTTTCATTTAATTTATTTCAATATTTTTCAAGTTCATTATTACTTTTAGTATTAACATTTATTTATTAATTATTTTTCAGTTTTATTATAATTAAGTATTATTTCAATTCATCAAGATTAAATATTATTCCAATTTAAGGATTTATAATAATAATTTATAATTAATTTTTTTAGTTCAAGAATAATAATATTATACAATTATACAATCAAGTAAAGCTCTCAACGGTTCAGTTCGGTTTGGTTTAGCACTCAAACTGAAACTGAACTGAAACCGAACTGGATTAAATCAAACCAGTTATTTTCAGTTTAAATATGATCACTACTGGTGAGGCAAGAATTTGCACGAGTTTTTTTATGTTTTTTTCAATTTCGCTTGCGATTTACTAGTACAGAGCTAAGATATTTCTAAGATAGAAAGAAAGGCCTTATTCGTAGTTACGAAATGATATAATTTTTGTAAAGTTATCTCTAGTTTAAAGAAAAAACATCCGTGAAAATCATGTGAAAAATTTTCATCTGATTTTTTCATGAACATTTTTTTAAACTTTGATAACTCCGCGAATATTGATGCTACCAGGATAAAACTTATATTATTTTGTAACTAAGAATGAGATCTTTCTTTCTATCTTAGAGATATCTTATAAAAAAATCACTCTATGATTAGTAAATTGGCAAAATGAAAAAATACACAAATTTTTATCTATTAAAATTTATATTTCATTATTACATTTTAGTTAAGATTATATTGATTTTATATTAAATATTTTATTTATTAATGATTTTAAAATTATATAAAATTAATAAAAATCAATAAAAAAAAAATACATAATTTAATTATTTTTATTAATCTCATTAATATTCTCATTAATTTTATCAATATTTTCATCAATTTCATTAATTTTTTCATCATTTAATTTATATCAACCTTTCAAACACATACATATTCTAATGTATTTGAATTTAAACTGCATCTTCTTTGTGTTACTAAATCTGTACTTTCTGAGAAAATTTGTTTAACAGGAACACTAGTTCCTATTTAAAATTAAATAAAAATATAAATTTTAAAAAAATCAGAAATATTATTTATATAATATTAAAAATTATACCTTAAATTGAAAGATAATCACGAGCCATCTTTGAAAGATTAGGAAATTCTAATTCATGTACACTGGTCGAAAATTAATAAAACATACACATATCGGGTACCCAATATGTACATGGTACATCCCTAATATTAGGTGTATATCGGATACCTGATAGGTGTAAAAATATTTTATTTATATATCGGGTACCCGATAAGTGTAAAAAAATATTTTCTACACTTATCGAATACCCGATATACATCCGATATTAGGACGTACCATGTACATATCGGGTACCCGATATGTATATGCTTTATCAATTTTCGACCAGTGGTAATTATAAATAAATAAAATATAAATTATATATATATTAATATTTAATATTTAATATAAATTTTTATATTTAATATTATACCTTCCAATATGATAATATATCTATTTTAAAATTAGATGCAAGTTCTTTTAAATAAGATTTCAATTCATCTTTATGCATTACTTTTTGCTTTTTGAAAATATAATTAGTTAATGCTATTTGTTTTGATGTCAAAATATTTGATTCTTGATTTTCATCAGGTTTATATTTACTTTTCCATAGATCAGTAATTTGTTGTTTATATTATACATGTTCCCAAAATTGATTTTGGATTTTTGAGGTATTTCGACTTTTTGAGATTTATGCAAAATCTATTC